TGTGGTTGTAGCCATGCTGAGAACTGTGCTGGGAACTGTGATTTTAAGAAATGTGGTTGTAGCCATGCTGAGAACTGTGCTGGGCAGCTTTGTGTCCTCACAACCTCCTGGCCACCTGCTCTGTCCTCCTTGGCTCTGCAGAGCCCCAAGGAGAAAGGAGGGAGAGGTGCCCTGTTCCCCTGTGCCTTGGGCACGTGCTGTGCCCTGGAGCAGCTCTGCAATGTTCCCAGTGTAAACAGCTCTGCTTTCATAATGCACGGTTTGCTACTCACCTGAATTCATTCCATCCCTGCCATCCCAAGCCTGGAGAAAGTTCTTGCTTGTTAGTTTGTTTGCACAGCTTTTTTTAATTTGATTTGTTCTTCCTGAGCCTGAAGATTTTCTCTTTTTCTGCCCAAGTGCAAGTAAGATTATTATTATTTTTTTTAATTATTTTTAAGAAAACTGTTTTATCCAAGCATTTTGTGAGTGGATAGTCCCCTGTGGATATGTAATAGTAATTGCAAAGCTTATTTTTTTCTGCTCCCAGTGGCTTTGATTGTGTGAAAATAAATGTTGAGTACTATGAAGCAATTAATCCTCAGCTCTCCTGGGAGCTGGGTAGGTAATTATTGCTATCTTTAGCTTACAAAGTGAGGTGAGCATCAGCAACTGGATAATTTGCCCTTGCCCCAGAGACCAAGGACAAGATTTTAGCCCACTTGTATCAGGTAGATCCTTTTAATTGAAAAATCCCACTCCTGCTCCTCAGATATTTCATCTTCTGCACTGACATATCCACCTCTGGTGCCCTCACAGCTTTAGTCATTAAACAGGTGGAGATTTCCAGGAGAACTTCACTGGAAAACTTCTGGGGACAGCTGAGGACAGAAAGAGAAGAAAGTCTGAGCTTTCAGCCCTGCTGGGTTGTGGTCAACTCACTTCAGATTTTCCCTAGGGCCACTCTGGTGTTTCCACCCCACGCTGAATAAAATAAGGGGCTTTAAACCACAGGAAAGCCCCAATTGTTTGTGCTTCTTTTTGCAAATAATGAAGTCCTGTAGGTGGATGGAATGGTCCTGTTTGCAAAACACCACAGCCAGTGTTTGCCTGCCTCTAATCCCCAGTGCAAATAATGCACAGGAATTCATTCTGCGGCTTGTTGATGGGATGTGATGCTATTGCTGTGTTCAAATAAAGTCAGCCAGAGGAAAGCAGAACAGATGCATTGTGTTGGCTTTGGAGAGGAAGCTAAATGGGGAACAGGGCACAGAACACCAAATCCAGCCTGCAGCAAACTGCTGCATGAATCAGCCCTCAAATATTGTCCTTCTAGACACCACTGCTGTTAGTCTTTGCATTTCTGATTGCCAGAGGCACACAGGGAAAAAAAAAAATTTAAAAAAAAAAAAAAACAGGGGACAAAAAGAAAAAAAAAAAAAAAAAAAAAAAAAAAAAAAAAAAAAAAAAAAAAAAAAAAAAACCACATAAAACCCCAAACCACCACGGGCAGGAAACAAAGTAGTTGCTTTTATTTACCTCTGCATTAGTGTCCACCAAAATTTCTTACATTTGAATGACATTTCCCCAAGCAACCCTCTGAGAGATAAGTCATTTTGTGAAGGATTCTACCACAGCAGAAATGTTAATTACCTTTGAGGGAGAGGGTTAAATAATGAAGAAAGGCAGGCCCAGAGAAGATGTACCAGCCCAAGACAGCGATCACTGAGGTAACTGTTGATGTGAAGAGGAATTAGATCAAGACTTTCTCAAATTGTTCACAGATGAGATTAAGGAAAAAAAAATCACTTTCTAGGCTGCATTATCAACTTATTAGCTGAGACGCTGTCCAACACCAAGCAGCTGTCACCTTCCAGCTTCCCCTCACAGCCCCAAAACTTAGGAAAATCTTTTGCAGGGAGGTGTTGGATGGACTCACAGTGAGGTGAGCACCAAGCTCCCACCAGCAGAGAGGAAATGGAAGCTGAACTGCAGCAGCTCAAAACAGAGCCATGCTTTGGGGGAAATACATCTTGGAATGGGAATACCTGAGTAATTCAGCTGGGAGTTCTCCTGTTCCCACCCACCCAATGCAAAAATGAGGGTTTAAACCACGACCAGCACTAGGCCGTGCCGTAAACCTGACATCTTGAATTGTTCAGGCACCCATTTTTGTTTTAAAGAGGATACACAGGGATAAGAAGAGGGCAAAAAAAGATGCCAAAAGCTCCAGAGAGTTTGGGACTTTTCAGTCTGCACTGACACAGAGCCTTTAGCCACGTGGAGAAGGGAATGTGATTTCACTGCCACAGTGAAAGATCTGGGGGCATGGGATGAAATGAGCAGGAGGTGGGCTCAAATCAAGAAAGTAGATTTCTCCCAGTGCTGTGGAGTTCACTTGTAAAAAATGATCAGATTTTTTTTAGAGAGTTATCTGAATTTGGAGAAGAATTGATGAGAAGAACATGAGTTTTCCCTCTTTTGTCTTGCACCTGGCCAGAGAAAGGCATGACAAAAGAATGATGTCTGGAGGGAGGCAGAGGTCCCACAGCCTGATGTTGTTTCAGTGTGGAGGAGGACTAAAATATTTATTTTACCTGTTGTATTCACTGTAAATTCTCACTGAAAGGACCCTAGCCCCTCATTAATGCTCATTTGCATATTAACTTCCACACCCTTAAGGATGCAAATGATGATACACCGTGCCTCACATGCAGACAACAAAACCCCACCTGTAACACATGGTCCAACCCTTTGGCAAGGCCAAAAATTATAGTACAGGAGGAGTCTGGATAAAATTAAATATGAAGGAAAAAGGAAAAAAAGGAAGGGGAAAATAGCTGTTTGCTCAGGGCTGTTTCTCTCCTCCTTCACTGAATGGAACCAGATTTATGGTGTTGTAAATGAACTATTTGTGAATCTGTGGAAGCTCTTGTTGAACACGACCAGACTTGAGAGCTGAATTGGTTTTAATCAAGAATTAAACCCAGCCCTTCTGATCCCTGAGGACCAGCAGCATCACAAGAGGATTATTTCCTGCCAAAATTCCATACCCTCAACGCAGCAAACCTGCTGGACCTCGATCCAGCACAGTCCACGGGGCAAAATGTGCTTCAGACTTTTCCTGTAAAATCCCAAACCCTCCAGATTTACTCTCTGCAAAGAACCCAAAAAGCAGCACCTGCCAATACCTCGCTCCCCTCCTCCTTCCCCCCAAAATTTATCCTTAACAGGCTACTTGAAAGCATTCGGGCTGCATTAATAAATTAAATAAGGAAACCCAAAGTGGCTGTAATTAGTGGGGGGATGCAGTGACCAGCTAATCAGCTCTACCCAGTTATTTTAGGATCCAAACTGAGCTTTATATAGCTTTATAAACCTCTGTACAACTAATTGAGGTAATTAACATCTTGTCCCTCTTTTTATACTGGCAATTATAGGCCACCATCAGACCTATGATGAGAAACAAGGGAGAGGATGGGGATTTTTCGTATCAAATGAAAAAAAAAAAGCACAAAAAGGGGGAAAATATTTACAATGCCAATAAATTCACATCTTTTCAGAAAAGTGGGGGGAAAAGACACTAATTTTTTTTTTCTTTCCCTTTGCAGGTTAACTTTAAAAAATCGATGGTTTAGTGATCTGCTAACAAGAGTTAAAGACTGGATATAACTTTGGATTTTTAGCCATTAAGCCTTTTCCCTAAAAATAGCTTTTTTTTTTGGTTGTTTCAGTAAATTGAAGAGTCTGGAATTAGGGAGCTGTCTCCAGGGCCTCCAAAATATGAAGATTTTATTTTCTTTCCTTGAGGATTTTGGTTTTTTTCAGCAGGTGCTTTACAAAACAACAAGTCTGTCCATCTGTTGGAGCCTGAAAATCTAGTGGGGCTGGGGGGAAAGGAACAGCAAGGAGGGTATTATTTTTCTTACTTTTACCTTTATTTATAAGGTTTATTTGGCTTTCTACACTAAAGCAAGCTTAGACCTGAGGGTTGTCTTGAATTGAAAGGAGCATTGCCCTTAATATTAAATGAAATGCTGTGCAGTGTGCTGGAAAGGGGAAGGATTTCCACATTTTTATTTTAAAAAATGAAGGTCAGCCTGGTCTTGAGCTGTTCCTCCAATCTGAGGAATCCAGGAATTCCAAGTCAGTGACCTACAACATGAAATTCTTCTGCCTTTTTCTGGGGAAAATATACATACAGATCACTGAACTGGGATTTTTGGCCCATTTAACCAGTTCTTACGAAGCAGTTATTTCAGAGGAAGCCAAATGCCTCAATCATTCATTCCTTTCCCTTTCCAGCAGTCCTGGGTCACATTCCCAGAAGGGGAAGGGGAAGGGGAAGGGGAAGGACAGGACAGGACAGGACAGGACAGGACAGGAAAGGAAAGGAAAGGAAAGGAAAGGAAAGGAAAGGAAAGGAAAGGAAAGGAAAGGAAAGGAAAGGAAAGGAAAGGAAAGGAAATAAATAGGGGGAAATAGAGAAGAAGGAGGAAATAGGAAAGAAAGAGAAAAGACAGAAGGGGGGAAAAGAAAAAGATAAAAAGGGAGACCAAGTAAAAAGGGAAGAGAGAGGAAAGGGGGAAATAGTGAAAAGGAAATGTGGGAAATCGGAGAGAAAGGGGGAAGAGATGAGGGAAAGGGAAAAATAAAAAATAGGAAATAAAAAGAAAAAAGAGAAAGGAAAAAGATAAAGGGGAGGGAAGGAAGGAAGAGGGGAACGAGAAGGGGGAAAGAGGAAAGGAAGGGCAAGAAGGAAAAAAGGGGGAAAGAAGAGGAAAAAAGCAGGGAAGGGACATTTAATAAAGGTGAAGGAAAGCCGGGTGAGAAGGAAGGAGAAGGAAGGAGCCGGGGCTCGGGGCAGCGCCGCTGCCGCACCTGGGGCGGGCGGGGGCGGTGCCGGGGGCGGCGCGGGCTCGGAGCCGCTGCCTCCTCCTCCTCCTCCTCCTCCTCCTCCTCCTCCTTCCTCCTGCTGCCGTGCCTCCTCGTCCTCCTCCTCCAGCCGCTGCCGTGCCCGCTGGATGCGCCGGGAGCCGGAGCGGGGCTGCGGGGCCGGGGCAGGATGCGGGGCTCGGTGCTGCGCCGCGCCGTGCCGCTGCTCGGCTGCCTGCTGGCCGCGGTGAGTGAGCGGGCATTGCCGCACGCCTCGGGCAAACTTCGGGCAACTTCGGCACGGTCTGCTCCTTCCCCTGCGAGACGGGAGTGCGGGGAATAGCGAGCGCTCGGTTGGGGTTTAGGGTCAGGTGCGCGTTCCCCTGGCGGGTGAGAGGATCTCTTTGAGCCGGAGGGATTCCCTGCGGGATTTTAGCGTTTTGTTCCGCAAGCGGCTCCGGGTTTCGCTGTCGTTCAGGTTCGCTTTGGTTTCTGTTCGGGAGCTCGGTGACTGCTCGCCGCACACCTGGGGATAACGGGATGAGCTTTCCCCGAGGGGCTCTGGGATGGGCTCTCCCTGCAGCTGCCCAGAAGTTGGGCAAAGCGCCGCTTTCCAGCGCTCCGGAGCCGGGGATGTGTCCGGGCTGCCGGGTCCCTGCCGGGTGTGATGTCCGTGCTGGCTCGGGGCAGGCTGAGCAAAGGGGGTTTGCTTCTCCTGGAGCTGGGTCAGCCCCGCACAGAGTCACACGTGCGAGCGCAGCTGATCCTCCGTGCCAGCGGGCACAGGACACGGCTTCTGCACGCTTCGCTGAGCTCCCCGCTCCAGGGAAAGGTGTCCCTGCCCGTGGCACGGGGTGGAACCGGAGCATCTTCAAGGTCCTTTCCATCCCAGACCATTCAGGGAGTCTGCAATTCCCTGATTTCGCTTTGTTCTCACGGCTCGTTTCCTCACAGCGTTTGATTTAGAACGAGACTGGTTTTAATTTAGCAGCCTGGGGTTGGGGGGAGATTTGGTGCTGGCTGTGGCTGAGTTTCCCTCTCACTTGTAAGCTGCTCCCACAGCTGTTTTCTCTCGGGAAGGTGAGGCTGCCTCCCCAGCATCCCGTAGAGCTGGGTGAGGTTGCCCACCACAATTGGGTTGTACCGTCCATTGCAAGTCACCTGTGTTTGATTTGCTGGGCTGGTGACAGTGCTTGTGGTCACAGAACCATCACAGAATTGTAGAATGGCTGGAAATAAATAGCATCTGATTCCAAAGCCCTGTGGACAGGGCAGCTTTCAGTAGACCAGTTGCTCAGAGCATCATCCAGCCTGGTCTTAAAGCAGAGTCAGACCAAGCAAGCTGAGCCTCAGAGAGTGGAAGTTAACCCAGATGTGTCAGTGCATCACTTGTCTCCCTTTCCTTCTCCCCTTTCTTCTCTCCATGTCCCACAAGGAATGAAACAAATGGATTTCATTGTAATTTTTTTTGGCTGTCACCATGAGCCACCCACCCAACTGCATCGCCAAAGACTTTCTTAGAGGATGAACAGGTTGGGAAAATGGATTAAAGTACAGAAAAAAAGGACAAGGCAATCAGTTATTGGGATTCTACAGAGCTTGCTTTAGGGAAGATCCAAAATAGCCCAAGTGTCCAGGGCTGGAGCTGGGGAAAGGAGAAGGGGGCAGTGTTCTCATCAGCTGCTGGAGCTGCTCCAGCTCTTGCTTCCACTGAAGCCCTTGGCAAAATTCCCGTTTCTTTAAAGATTGTTGGCATGAAGGGCTCCTGTGGGGCCAGATCCTGCAGAGGGTGAGGTCCCAGGGCTGCTGAAGCTCACTCTGCAAGGGGTGGCAGGATCAGGCTGTGGGTGATGCTCTTGGGCTGCCATCAATAAGCACAAATCCCTAAAGCTTTGGGGCAGCACAAGACCGGGTGCAATCCTGTAACTGCTTCCTTTCCAGCCCTTTTATTATTCTGTTGTTGTTGTTGTTAATGTTCCTGGGATCTGGTTCACGCTGGTGGGTTAAAAAGATTCACATGCTCCTTATCAGCACCGATCTGCAAGGTGACTAATACTGAACTGCCTCAGTGCTGGAGAAAATTCCTGGTTTGTTTCTCAGCTTAAACCTGGGATTTGGTGCTGATTTTTAAACAAAAGTAGCTCTGCAGTCATAACCTGACTCTGTGATGGCTCAGCAGAGCTTGATTGGTTTGGGTTTGTTTCATATAATTTCTTATGATAATTATATTTGTACGTCCTTGGGGAAAAAACTCTGAACAAGTGGCTGATCAACAAGTTCAGCACCATAAAACTCTTGCAGCCATGTGGTTTCTAATTGCTGTTATAAACTTTCATCTCTCATTGTGCACGCTGTGGAGAAGAGGGAATCGGGCAGATCCCATTTGCTGAGGTCATCAAGCCATGCTCACCAAAGTCCTGCCCTCCTGCCAGGATCAGCTTGGAAAAGTTGGAATAAAAGTGTTAATGGTGGTGTGGATGTGGTGTAAATGCACAATAATCCCTTTTAGGTTCTTCTGTGTTGCTTTTAGGAGTGTAATTAAGATAATTTGGCCTGAAGAGCTACAAATTAGACACTTTTTTTTTCCCCAGTGTGTGTCTAGAACATGAGATGTGGATAATTTGAAGCAGTTGGTGGATTCCACATGTCTTCAGATTTCAAGCTCCTTGAATTAGCCAAATCTGCCCAGCTGGTGTAATTTGTGCTTTTCTTCAGAGCATTGCTCTGTTCCAGCCTTGAAGTAGGTTTGTGATAGAAAAGAATAAAACAACTCAGATCTGATTCTTCATCAGTCCGAGTGCAAATGCTGGAGATGTGATCAGTGTGGAAAATCAGTGAAATCTGAGCTCCACAGAAATCATAACAACCACTTCAGCTGTGTCTGTGCCTCTTTCCTCCTGTTATTGATTGAGAATCTGTGAAGTGACATAAATATACTTTAAACACAACAACCACAAATGGTTTTGGCCAAAAGACAAGGTTCTCACTGGGATCCTCCAGGCCAGTTCCTGCACCCAGCACAAAGATCCTTTAGCAATAACAACATGTGTTTAACAAAGGCCTTGCCACAAACCCTGAATTATCACTGGGTGTATGATTTATTCAATTTTTGCTTGTATAAATGCATGACTGACTTTATTCAGGAGAACCAGTTGCCCAACCCTGTGTCTAGGTAGCTCTGAAAGCCTCTCTGCCTCTTTCTATAAAGTTTTCAGAGAGGACACACAATCAGCAAGAATAATATTGTGGGAGCTCTTACTAAGGGCATAAAAAGGCAAAATTGTAAAATAGGTGGGGGGAACAGTATCTGAGGGGGAAAAACGTGCTAGAGGAAATACTTAAAGCTGTTTCAAGCTGTTTTTTACTCACCAGCAGACAGCAGGGGCATTCACAGCATCGTTATCACGCCCTCCCAGCTCCAGCAGGAAACTCCGGACAACCAGCCAGGAATTGGGATGGGCTGCAAGAGCAGCCGAGTCCACCAGGGTGGTACTTAAAAAGGGATTTTTACCAGACACTCAGCAGCAGGAGCCAGGTGGGACCATGGACAGGGAAAGCCACCCGGGCTGTGAATTTTGGGTGTGGAGGTGCATTTCCTCCGTTTTCATAACACTTTAAAAATCCTCTGGTTCCAACCCCTCAGTGAGAGGTGTGAGAGCCAGAGTGCTCCGGATAGAAATCCAAACTCAGGTGAGTTGCTTTTTATCCTGTGGTGGCTCCTGAGGCTGACAAAACATTTTGTTCTCGTTCTCAGTGTTTCACAGTGAATTTTTGAGTGGCTTTTTGTCTCTCACACTCGGCTTTCCAAGGAGGGATCGGGGCAGTCGGGGGATGCAGAACAGGGGGATGCTCTGCACGTTTGGCAAATTGCAAGTGGAGACTGAGTGAGAGGTGGGACCATGTCAGGAGAGAGGTGTTTCAGCTGCGAGGCTGCCTTAGAAATGGCAAACATGCAGAGTTTATATTCATTTTCAGGGGGGGAAAAAGGAGAAAAAAAAATAGAGAGGTTTTTGCCTTTACCAGATGGTCTCCAGCAGAAACAACTGGAGAGACTGGTGACTTGTCAAAACCAATCTTCCACATGATATGCTGATAGTCTGGGAGGACTGGGAATTTTCTGGTGTTTGGGCTAGAATGTAGACACAAATCTTTTGGAACAGAGGGAAGAGGGACAGGAGAGAGATCTCCCTGTTCAGCATCAAGTGTCCCATTTATTGGCAGCCTGGGGAAGGGAACCAGACACTGTGGAAAACGAGACCTGAGATTTGATGATCTTTTTTTAAGCCAGACCTGAGTGCACTTGGAGGAGATTTGTCACACCCTGAGTGGCTGAAATTCAGGAAAAGGCTGAGATTATCAGTGCAGAATAAAAAAATCTTAGGTTTTGGTGGGGAGCAGGATTCAACTGGGCTTTAGGAACTCAGGAGGTCATGCCCTGCCCTCAGACCAGGTCAGCACCAGCGTGGCAGTGTCACTTCTGTGCTGCTGTCACTTCCCCTGCTGCATCACCCTGCCTCAGGGGATGTGGATTTGTGGTTTTCCAATGCCTGGGAAAGGCTGTGGGATTAATATAGCCCCACTCCCTGCTTTCATCAGCTTTCTCTCTTCTGTGTTGGGAAGAAGAGGAAAGAGCTTTACGAGAATCAAAATCTAGGAATTGCAGCCAAGAAAAAATCCCAGGTCAGGGGACAAAAGGAGCTGGAGGTGACTGGAGAGCCCAGAGCAGGAGGGGCTGGAGCTGTGCCCAGCAGGATGGACAGACACACAGACTGGCCTGTGCCAAGGCAGGGGTTTGTCCTCCTGTGCTGCCCTGTGCAGGTTTCCCTCTGAGTGCAGCCACTCCCTCCCCTCCACGCTCCCAGATGTTCTCCAGAAGTCACAAGCTCCCACAGCTTCAGCTGGGTGGCACCTCAGCCAAGAGGGGAGACGATTTTACCTCTGAAAATGAAAACTCAGGAGGCTGCAGAGGCAGAAACCCCAAACATTTGGCTCCATGAGAGGGCCAGGGATGTGATGCCAACCTTCAGAGTGGCACCCACCCAGAGCTCCACAGCTCCTGCTATGGCTGGGCACAGCTGGAGAAGGCTGGTCCTCACCTGAGCAGCCTTTTTGTCACCATTCCTTTATACAGAATGAGCACCAGAGATTTCTCTGGGCTGATTCATCTCCCTGGGCACATCCTTCTCCTTTCCTGGGATTTTTTTCTCCTATTGAGGCTGGGATTGAAGGCACTTGAGATGATAGTTC